TTAGCGTAAGGTTATTCAAATTCACTAAATGGTTATCGAGGAAAAAATGAAAAATTAGCTGAAAATCTCGTTTTTACTTGATAATATAATGATAATATTTATAATTGTCTGAAATAAATGCAGTTTTAAAATTTTAATTATTATTTAAACATTCAAAAGTGAACATATAAGGCCCCGTTTACACATTGATTAGTAATTAGGCGAGATTTCAGGGGGGGGACAGCCGCCCTCCCGTGCCCCCCCTGGGTACGCCCATGTGCGTGAAGAAAACTGAAAATGTGAAATGTAAAATGATCAGCAAAGATTCAGCAGAGGTAAGTAAAACGTTGAAGTTCTTAGTCTACTTAACGAATTGTCGCGTGGTGTCAAATTTGATATAGATTATCAATTATCTATTTGAGCATGTTACCAGCATGGAACCTTAAAGAATGTTCAACATTGTCAGGAATTTAGGAAAGAAAAATGCTTATTTAAAGATATAATTCCAACCAGACAGTTATAAAGCTAACCCTGATCTTTTGAATACCTAAGAATTCTCTAACCGCTACACAGCTTACTATTATTGTTATTGTTAAATGTTATTACTAATCATTTGGGTCACTATAGCCGGATATGATTTCTTGAAAATCAGTCGTAATAAACGAGATGTCATTTTAAACGGAGACATTGTATCCAAACTTTCCTATAGAGAATTTAATATGAAAACCAAACTTAACACTACAATTACTTCATATTAAGCGGTTGGTCAATATAGGCGGAGTCATAATAAACGAATTCCACTGTATAGATAGATACAATTTTAGACGCGGCTTGGGGTGACCCGGAAGATCATTTGGGTTGACTACCCCTGACTTAAACTCATTGAATTCGTACCTAGTTTTAGCGTATTTTATGTTAAGTTCACAAATTTTTGATAGGTATCTATTGTATTTTATAATTCAAATTATAAATTAAGACAAAAAATAAGAATGATGACATTAATAATATCGAACAGTCGGCGATTTTTTGCAAAACAGATACCTCATATTACTATTTGATAAGAAGACAAAGTATTCATAGAAATAATAAGTAATATGTTAATATGTATCTAAAATTGTGGTTTTATATATATATTATAACTTTTAAGGTCAATAATTAAATTGAAGAGATTAGTATTTAAATGGAAGTGGTCTGATAACCATTATTTAATTTGTTGCCTTATGTTACGATTATCTAAACATATTACAAGCCATTTTACTACACTAGCTAACCCATTTTTGTTTGCCTTCTTTCGAAGCTTAATTACTTTTTATCGTTTTATTTTAATAATACAAAATCGTTAATCCGTGAAGATTCTCATTGAAAGCCAGCCCTGTGTTCATCTTAGCGGAATGGCAAGAGCGGATGAAGCATCCGCCTTCCCATCGTCCTACCCCGCAACTAATTTGGAACGCGGTCGAACGTCGACAAGGGTCGTTGAAAGCTTTACCCCAACCGACCTTCCCTTTAACCGTCTCGAATTTATATCTACAGCCCTTGGTGAAATAATAAATAATCGATTTGTTTTTCCACTATTACAATCATGTTATCGAAACTTCACAGACTTTATTGAGACTAATATAATATGAGGAAAATGTGAACCTGGTACGTATACGTGATGTTTAATACGCACTTGATTAAGGATGTTTGCCAGGTATGTCAAAATGCTACGAGACAAATAAAACTTTGGAAGAACGTTCCTCATTCAATTTTAAAACTCCTGTAAAAA